GAAATCGGTGTATTTAAAAAAAAATACACGTCAATTAAATACTTTATCAACACGAAAAGTCAAATGGTAAACACTAGTAAATAGGACTCACGTCCAAACTGATTGAATAAGTGAATGAGATTCCGCACGGTTCATTAAATTGAATTAGATATTTATTGATAACCGACTTGATATTGCTTAAGTGTTTTATTCAATAGTATGTCTGGTTTGTTTATCAGTTTTCATGTACTTATTTTTATTTTAAAACAAAATATATGACTGTAAAAAAACCATCTGATATCCAAATACTATACAAAGATCTACATACTAAATTTAATCCCGCTAGTTCAATGTACGGAACTCTTGAGTTACAATTGTTCCACGTGAAACTGAGTACATGGACCTACTGAGAATAAACGAAATTATCTACATAGATTTTTTTGATTCGGTTCACGACACTCTGGTAGATCTATACTTACTAACACGGAATAAAATGTAGTTTACTGTATAAATGAGTGAATAAATGATTGAAAACATTCATTATTGCACATTAAAATTTCAGTGACAACAGAGAACAGTAATGTAAGTATTGCAAAGTAAGCCAATGTACAACAAGCGGCCTTATTGCTTAGTAGCAATTTCTTCCAGGCAACCTTCTGAAAGAAAATATTAAGAGTTGGAAAGGGAGGTGCTATCAAATATCTTATAATGAAAGCGTACCTATACAGTTATGTTTAGCAAAAATTACCTACGCATCTAATCGCATAACCTAAATACTGGGTAGATATGACGAAACAACGAACATCGACCAGTATTATGTATAATGCAATTTATATCATTGTAGTAAGCCAAATCGTGACGAGAACCCTCATGCTGAACGGAATCTGTCGCAAGTGCGCTCGCGATTCGTTCGCGAGCGTCTGTGTGTCGCAAAATTGTTGTTAAACTTTTTTCTATTGTTTTTTATGTTTGTACATTTTCTTTCTTACTTCCTGGGTGAAAGATTTTCCCTTCTAAAGTTCTTTTGTCATTCGTTCCTTTATCGAATACATTCAACTCTAACCATATTTCCCGCCCGTGCTTTCTCTTCCTACCTCATAATATTCAAGATATATTACTAAACTACCTAGTTAAAGAAAACTTCGATTGATTCAGCCTTGTCCTATGCTAACCTTTACTTTCTCCTGACCCGTGCCACAGTTGCAAAATAATTATTTTCTAAAGAAAAATGTAAATTTTCAACCAATTTTAAGTCGGTCAAAGGTTGACCCAAGTTAATTTTACAACTCTAAAGATAACGAAATCAATATAAAAAATATTATTTACACAAAATTAAATTTACATGTGTTATGTAAACTGCATCGCAATGTTTACGAAAAATTGAAAAACACTTTCAACACAAAAAAATTATAAAAACCTTCAAATCTTTGCGGCGTTATGTCTCAAATTTCGAAGTAAAATATTTTTCTACCTCATACACGACTACAACATTAAAGGAGAGTAAGATTTACTTTTACTATACCAAATATAGATGCAAACAAAGTTGCAAGCAACCGCAACTTTTAATAATGAAGTGACAGCTCGTTCTGATTTCAACCATTGATCTAGTTTTTTTTAAGAAAAGGAAAAAATAAAGTCAACCGCAAACCGCAAGACCGGTAACCGGCAAGTACGTCACTTACACACATATGTATGACATAATAGATAGTTGCGTTTTCTCTAACCACTTGACTAGTACCAAGTAACAAGTCGAATGAGGAAGTGAAGTGTTAAATGCGACAAAATAGTAATTATTAATAGACTTGGGAAGCAATGTGCTTTAATAGATACCTAAACCTGTGTAACGTAAAGTCAATAACGTGAAACGATGTATATTTCCTAACTTCTTGTCGTGTCAACGCTTCTTTTGTTTTGAATAATATTTAGCTACCTTGATTGAGCTACCTGTGATCGCGCTAATGTCCTTACGCGTACTGTTCCCCAATTAGACGTAGTTAAGCAAAAAGGATCCAATCCACAAAATTATCAAAAAACGAGTTATATGTACTAAATGGTTCCTAAAGTCTAACCTTTTAGATCATAAAAAAAATCCAACATATAAACATAAATAAATATTTCTGAAGTACACGACGTAAAATTTTTGAAGAGTGAGAAACATTTTTAACCTTCAAAAAAAACCTTATCACGAAATTGACTGGATTGGACACTGTAGTGCATTGGATTTTTTTTGTTTAACTACATCCAATTCGTCTAATTTTCTTGAAATCACTGGTCATTTCATTGAGACTTCGCTGCGGGTATATTGTAATTGCAATATTTATTATTCTCCCAAAATCTAGTTGCAATTGCAGTTGAGTGTCAATAGAGTGTCAATGGAATGCCAGTAATGACATTAATTCATTCAATCACTAACGATCGATTTTGCCTTACTAAACTTACCGTGGAAATTACTACGCACATCTTCTTTTCTATATATCTCGTATATGCTGCAAATTGGTCTTCAAATTATAATAATGTCATTTTCTTTATAATAATGTATTTTTATATCAAAAAATTATTAGACTACGTCATCGACGTACCATCAACTCGCCATTGTAGAGCAAAATTACCAAAAAATTGCAATGACAGTTGAATAGTAGCGCGTTGGCAAACCACTACTCTTTAACTTTAACTGAATACCAAACGTACAAAATCCTACCATTGACACACAACTGATATGATTTAAAATTAGCAGACTTTTTATGATACTAAGTGACGGGAAGAACAAGTCGTGCGCCTGATGGTAAGCGACACGCCTGTCCATAACAGTTGCGGTACCACTCAGATCTTTAAATCACAAAGATCTGAGATGCACTGCGACTGCGCCCGTCACCTTGAGACATAAGTTTAAAAGTAGGTTCAATGTGTCTGTAATTTCACATCACTACTTGGCGACAGAAATAGGCATGTTGGCAGTACCTCCCTGGACGAACTCTTTCACAAGGTGCTCTACTTTACTTGAGGACCAGACACACCGTCAACTGACAGTGATTACTAACTCAGTACTTATATGTAGTTACCTAGCTATAACAATCTTGGCCGCAGAGGTGTAAGGTCCAACAAAAACACAAAAACTTTTTGGTTTTTGTACCGAATTCGTCCTCAAAATATCTCTGTTATTTTTGTAAGATATTATACCCTTTTAATAAAATTAACATGCATGGTATATAACACAAATGTGAAGCCCGATTTTCTGTTATAAATCGCTTGTGTGTTATTAATTAACTTGTCTACTCTCTCCAACTACATAATTTGTAGAGCAAAATTATCTTCCGTAGTTTCTAAGACAAATTATCCAGTCTTATTATATACTATGTTATTATTTACATTTTAAGTAGGTAAATTGATTTTGTGAGCGCAGTCATTAATTTTCAAAAGTAGGAAGTGTGGCGGTATCGTGTGAGGACAATGCTATGCGTCATTCTTTAGGTCATTAAACATGTGTTGTTTAACACGGGAATGCATGTTAAACACCTACGGTATCTAGAAGACAATGTAAGAGTTGCTTCTGGTATATTTGGTAAACAAAAAATATAAAATATTTTTAACCGACTTCCAAAAAAAGGAGGAGGTTATACGTAGCCGAACGTACGTGGGGCGCCCTATAAGTTTCCGGAATGAATAAGAAAAAAAATACTATAAATGGTCAGAAATGAATTTATTGTTGCTCAAAATATTCTCCGTTAGCGTTAATGCACTTTTTCATACGAATGATTTGAAATGTTGTAATTACTTTTTAAATATTGTTTAAGTAAATGGCCTTTTCCGGAAACTTATAGTGCGCCCTAAGTATAACCTCCTCCTTTTTTTTTGAAGTTTTCAGATATCTCCGTCAATTGTGGACCGATATTGAAAATTATTTTTTGTTTGAAAGGGTGCAATCACGTGGTGGTCACATTATCGCCAAGTGAGAATTAGATGAGGAGATCCCATGAAAATCGAAGGAAATCCTCAAATTTTATATTCCGTGTATTCACCAATTTCTCCATCAATTGTGCACCGATTTTGAAAATTCTTTTTTTGTTTGAAAGGGTATACTCTGAAGGTGGTCGCTGATGCAGTTCCGGGTTCGCTTCGATTATCACAAATTACTAATTATTTTCCGCAAATAAAACTCGACTTTTCACTTGACACACCACATGTAATCAACCAATCATCGTCACCATGACAACCAGAAAAGAAAATACAAAATGTACAAAGGTACAAAGTCCGTAACAGTCCCATTGTCACCATGAAGTCAGAATCTGATGAGGTGATCCCATGGAAATCGAACAAAGTCGATAAGCAAACTTTTCAAGTCGGTTTTTTTTTTAAAGAAAAAGTTATAGTAATAATATTTATTATATAGACTTATGATTAACATCATAATCGTATGCATATACTGACAGTAAAATTTCAAGGGACGATTAATTTTTCATCTTATTATATTATTTGTTCCACGTATCTAAAATGAAAATTAAATGCGCGTCACTCTTTTGCAGAATACTCTTTTGCAAAAAACAAAATGTATAGGTAACAATATATACGAGTGGATGCGAGATCAATGGATACGAGTACTTACCAAATATAAGCAACTCTACTTGATCGCAATCCGCATGCGTACGACTAAAACAATGGCCCATGCATATTTATGAATTAGTGCAATGTTTGTACGAAATTACTTCTCTTAAACAGTTCCTCCCATACTACACGTTTACCAAGGTTTTAAAATTGCTGCTCTGTTGTTTGTCCTCCAAATTGCATTAATTGCGCAAATGTCAAAATAAAGAAAAGTATCTATCCGTCAATAAACGTTTTTACTTACCTATAGTTAGGACACGGGTTTATGTTTTTTGCCTAAAATAACATATTAATTAAATGCTTAAATAAGACTTTGTATGTTCAACCTTTATACAATCAATCAATCGACGATACTAAAATTAAATAGCCAAGTATTTTATTTTCAATAGTCCCGAATAAATTTTTGCTTTACTTTGTTCCAGATGACAAAGGAGATCTCATGGCAGAGTCATCAGAAATCATACCAGAGGCTGTAGCTGCACCATCCGACATCAAACAAAGAGCACAAGCACCAGATGCAGACGCGGAGGCCGACGAATCGGACCACTCCATAGAACTCGTTGGAGGCTCGCAAACATTCTTTCCATCCTTCGCAAATCTTTTTGAGCCCAGACAACACAACTTCAGACTCGGCTTCGGAAGTCAAGAAGGAGCCTTTAGTCAAAGACCAAACTCCTACAAGTCCCTCTTAAACTACCCTCTCTTTGGAAGCTTTAGAAATTTCGACGGCTTTACCAAACCAGAAACTCAAGCGTCAGCTCCTTTAATCGATGCCACTAACAACGCCGTTTTAGGCTCAGGAAACTTCGGCATTATCAGAGGAGGGACTTTCAACGTCCGGAACGACGAAGACTCAGAATTCGATAATGGCTTCAATTCTTACTACAATAACGGACACGGCCGGCCCTCTTTTGGAGCAAGCTATGTCGCCAATCCTAGACCAAATTTCAATCAAGATCAATTTGCAAACTTCAAAGACTTTGCTGATATCAATACCCCTTCTAATGCCGCTTATTCCCATTTTGTTGTCGTGTATGCTAACAAAAACTCTACAGCAGACGAAATTAGTGAAGAAACAAGAAAAGTTGCCACTAGACCCAAAAATATCATTGAAACTTTAGAAAGTCTTGATGAGAAAAAGAGTCCTACGAAGATTTCAAAAACTAAATTAAAATTAGAAGCGACGAAATTAAACAAGAAAGAGCAATGGAAGAAAGCAAATTCAAAATATTCAAGCCAAAAACATGACCCAGAAGAACCGTTATTAGCATTAAGTTAAGGTTAGATTATTATAGGAATAATGTCATAGTTTAGAGAAAATGTGCGTCGCGTTTGTAGAATTTCCTGATTGCGACAGAACTAGCCACAAATAATTAGGAAAAAGTCCTGATTTGCAGTTGGTGTTTAGCCTTACCTCTGATTTTCCAGTTATTATTTTAAATTAAATTATAGATATGTGAAAGATAGTATTGCAAAATTATGTCTATGAGTAGCGCGTCTTCTATTGCCTGTGTTGTAAATATTAAAGACTTGAATTACGTAATATTAAAGAAAACCAGTAGAAAGCAGTATCTGACGAGAATTACCTCTAACTTCAGTCCGTTCCCAAGAATATTAAACTCTACGATGCACTTAACATAAATACTAAACTCCGAACAACGAGCTCAAAGTAGATGAAATTTTGTTTAGTGCACGTAAATTGACCTTTATAAGTGACGAATAGAAATTCTAAAAATAACATTTACATAAAGTAAGTAATCCTTAGATTGTGTAAGGGAATAAATGAGATGAATGACTGTGCCTGTATTATAAATTGTACTCGCATGAACAGCGATTTTATATTAAATTAAATTTTAAAAGTTATTCTGTTTTTTTCTTGATCAATCAGTCTTTTATAGTTATTACTAGGTATCTACATACGACAAAGGATTACGTCTGAATGTGTCATAATTAAATTTCATAATATAGATAAAGACATAAGAATTATAAATTAAGTAATAGTTACATTTATATAACCAATCGACTCATTCAATTATTTATTGCATTAATAATACAAATAAAACAGATTATTTCTCATCTTTGGCATCTGATATTGATGGTACTCTTAATAAATATTGATGGTACTGGCTTTACTTATATAATACATACTAACCTACTTAATTACAGTAAACGGAAATTTTACACTTCGTAATCAGCATTTTGGAACCTGATTTTTAATGTATTTCTTAGCGCCATCTAGTGTGGAATAGTGATATTACTGCGTTAAAGTGACATCTAGTATATTACTAGAAAAGTATCTTCAATGCTTTGAAATTAAACAGTATTGAGGAACAATCAACAGGTGACAGCACATTAGGAACAGCTGCTTGTGTTACCATTTCTTAAAAATATGGACTGGAATTTATTTGTTTTTTTTTGTATAGAAATCTATTTTTAAAATCGTCACAAATGTTAAATTAAACTCGTTTTTGATAAATTAAAATTTTTAAACAGTATTAATTTTTAAAATTTACATTTCCAAAAAATGTTGATAATGTAAATCTGACAAACTTACAGATCTAGGTCAAGTATTTATTTATTAGTAGGAAAAAAATAATAGCAATATTATGTGCAGAGAAAAAAACGCAAATTGTCTTTGGTTGGAATTGGAAATAATGTGCCGTATTGATAGTAGAACGTTTTTTACTCAATTTTCTGGGTATTATACGAAATAACAAAAGCAGTTATGTTCTAATTTCACTAAATGTTCCATTGCGCTGAGTGAAAGTATTATTCATAAACGTAAAAATATAGTTTTGGTGAGCGTTATGTTTTCTGGCAAAGATGCCGCAAACTCGGCATACCCTACGCAGTGGGCGCTGAATCCGACTGCGTATCAAAATATAGACTCTAGTACGGTAGACTGGGCTGCTTTAGCTCAACAATGGATTGCTATGAAGGAAGCCGCAGCCATCCTGGCGGTACCACCACCGCCTTCAACCGCTGCGGCGTCGGTGAAGGAAAATACGGAAGAAGGCGAGGCCCCAATGGAGGTCGAAAATCCAGATGGCAACTCTGACAGCCCTGTACCACCACCTGGAGCGGAGTGGAATCCTGCTACGAATTCATGGGTAGGCGGATGGAACCAATGGGGTAAGATATGTTATTTTACGACATTTTTAACCTAATTGGTGGCGTTTCACCGGTTGTAGATAGACCTCTTTTATCTTTGGGAATTATTGTCTAAGGCATCCTGGAAATTAGCCTACAAAAGAGAGTCTTCAGTGGATTGCAGAAGTGCAATATTTATAATTCAAAATGGCTGTCTAGGCTGCTGAATCTATGCTGTAGAAATGATAGTGAAATGGAAGTAGCCTAGGAAAAAACCTTATCATTTGATTAGCGTTTCTCTTTGTTACCTACTAATTATTATTTGTCAATCAGCTGACTTCCTTAAAAGTAATAAAATGTACTAATTTTTTAAATTATCTTTTTAGTTCTGAAAAAAATTCTCATAAAGTAAATACCATGTATGATACTTTCTTCTCACGCTTATGAGTTGTCAGATCTTGCTACTACTTTGAATATGTGAATATCAATATAGTGAAGTATAATTCTGAACCCACAAATAAAATTGTTTAAACCGGATAATGTACCAGCTCATACAACATACTTAGTTGGAGCACAGAGAACCGAAGACAGATGGAAAGGTGCAACGTGCTGGTGTCTGCAATTCGACATCTTGTGCCTATTTTACATACATTGCACTACTAATTGTAGTAACAGAGTTGAGATGTTAAAACTTGCCCAGTCGACCAATAAAAATAAAATCCATGGTACTCAATCGCAAAAATCAATTATTCATCATTTTACAAATGTTGACAATTTAGACCTTTACAACCTTCACCATGTTGTGATTATGACATAAAATTTTGAAAGAAAATATGGTACTTTTTTATCCATCCAGGATCTGCAGGACCTTAGCTAAAATATCAGTATAAGTATCATGCTGGTGAAATTACAGACACATGGAACTTGTTAACTTATGTCTCGGGTTGACATGTGCAGTGGCAGTGCCCCTCAGATCTTGCGGTTTAAAGTTCAGAGCACCACTGGCACTGCTATGGACTGGTAGTTCACTCAATGCCAAGTGTATAACTTGTTTGTCCCGTCACTTGGTATGATATAAAAAAATTTATATTGTTCTCAAGGTTGGGGATGGCCCGGCTCTGGGCCTGTGGACCAAAAGATACCAGCCGAATCATCATCATTGAACATACCCCCATTGATAGATGGGTTCCCCATACCTGCGGAAGCACCCATGCCAGGGTAAGAAATAGATTTCATTTTAACATTTGCAACAGTTTGTAATAAAATGCTATTATAATTTCATGCAAGTAATATTCATTATATATTTTGAACTTTTTAATTTTTGTAATTAATTTGAACATGATTGTTAATTATTTCTGGTTTTTATATTTATAATTGTTGTAACATTATTATTACAATTATTGCATTGTTACTTGTAATTTCTATGAATATATAAACTATTTTTTTACATATTGAATGAAACTTACCTGCAAACACCAACACAATGTACAATGTTACTTCATATATCAATGAAAAACCACAAATTTCACAAAGCTTGTGGTTTTACAACTTAATTGCTGCCTTGTAAATGCTACAATAGCACTAATATAAAAAATATTTGGTTTACAAGTATCATGGAGGTAAACATTTATAGAGTAATTGTTCTATTTTTGGAAAAATGTCTATAATTATAAATAAATATACAAATAAGTAATCTATTAATGTAAAACATTTCATAAGTAGTGATAGCCTTTTTATAAGGATGCTTGCCTTCATTGCGTCTTTCAAATCCTTTTAAAATTTTCAAATCCTGATTATACACTCATGAGTTTTCTCAATTTATGTGCGTTTATATTATAACTTCTTGAACAGTGAAGAAAAATTAAAGAGTTGTGAGGAAACCTCCACAATGAATGTTTATGTGACATTTCAAATTAGTATTTGATGATAAATCCCTATTTTAAGAAGGTATCCACTGGAAGACATGCATGGAAATCTCCATGTATTCTAAAGAAAGCCTTGGTATTTAAATGAGGACATAGGTGCAAAGGGGAATACAAATTAGATGACATTCATTCAATGGCATGCACAATAATAAAATTTTACATTCTCCATACACAATGCTGTAAAGAAATGAGGATGTATATTATAAATAAAGCAACAGCAGTTTCATTGTATTTGTTGTTCGTAATAAATGATACATATAATGTGCAAAATACTATACAAAACAGTACTTTGTATTTGACAATTATGTCATTTATAAATAAACATTTTTGACATTTAAATTTTTACAAATAGAAAGATTCTTGAGTTTTTCAAAACACCTTCTTGAAAAAAATTAAGTCCTTCAAAAAGAAGTGCAAACAGGTACTTACTACAATCCTAAGGCCCAATATCTACCACCACAAAGCAAAAAGCTAAGATATGTTTCATCCACCAATGTATATTTTTTTTGTTGTGGTTGGTGAAACACAACTATTCTCCATTTAAATTCAGTACATAGCTAGTTCTATTTTCTATTATCATTTGTTCTATTATCATTTGTTCACTAAATCTATGATTTAATCCTTCCAGGTACACTACAGGTCAAGCACCGACTTTCCAGCATGGTTACTGGACTGCCCCACAATCCCAATCAGACCAGTCAACGAGTAGGAGCAGCAGCAACAGCCGCAACCGCGAGAGGCGGTCTAAAAGCAAGAATCGAGAAACCAAACCTATTAGAGGGAGAGCACTAAGGTAACAACGAAGTGTGATTTTTTTAAGTTTAAAAGATTTATTTATAACATTTTTAAATTACAATATTTTTTACAACATTCTTGTGATATTTACCATTTGCAGCAACTTTTACGTCGTACGGAACAAATAAAATTTACATATTATTTTACATATCTATACAGAATTATGTATAGCATTGAGGCATAAACAGAAAACACAGACAGTTTCTCTATTATCATAAAGAAAGACAATTTTTTTTTTCGTAAAATTGGTTCTTCATTGCAAAAATACTATTAACGTAAATAACTTTAAAAGGTTATTGTTTTTAATTACTTTTTTATTATAACTTTGACATACATATTACTTCTAAAGATCAAAATCATACGCATACCTATTACTTTAGCAAAACACTCTTATTCACCATCCCACATTACCTAATGACCATTGTCCATTTCTACCTCAAAATTTCATCAGAAAACCCGTCAATGTCATGTTCAACAGTTTCATCTCCTGTAAAGTTTTTGTAAAAGTCTATTGCATCTTTTAATATAAGACGCAATAAACTTTCAGGTCATTTAACTATGCTTCACGCATGGGTTTTCTGGCTGATCAGGCAGTATTTCTTCATAATTTTTTCGTTAAATTTACTTCCATATATTTTTCATCTGGGTTGCGACTCACAAAAATTGAAAAGAAGATGTTTCATTTTAAGCATAAGTTCTTTTGTATTAAGCTAAAACACTTTTGACCCATCAGTTGATTTCTTTCTGATTGTTATTCGCTTTTGATGACAAAAAAATCTTTTCTCATTCTAGGACATGGATTTATTTTTTCTGCAGTTTTTTATTTATTTGCATTTAGTCTTCTGGTGTATATTTGTTGCAATTTAGAGCACATTCGATTCAGCCAAAACCTGTTTAATCAGATAAGGAACTGTGCCCTCCCAAAAGCGAAGCCTGATGAATTGAAGTGTTGGGTGTCCATTAAAACTTCAATTTAGCATCAACGTCAGCTTTATATTTCTATTTTGACTCCAGCAAGTCACTCCAAAATATTAAGTGCTTCATGGCGTCGTTCTTCTTCTTGTCATATCGATCTTCCTGAATGGATGCCCAAAGGTTTTGCAAACACTGAGCTTTTTTGTAAGTGCTTGCTACAGCATCGTCAACAAGTACCTTTTCTTTTTCTGAGGCTTTTTCTTTTTACTATAATAATTATAATAGTCACATTTCTTGCAATGTGTCTTTTTTCAAATGCTTCATGCGAGGGTAGAATAGGATATTTGATAATCATCATTCCAGCCGAAAGACTGCTGGACATATGCCATGAATAGGATATGATAGGATAATAGTCTTAATATACAGGTGTAATCGTTCGACAATAGTCTTAGGGTCGTATTCCAGAACTCTACTCAATACTCAAGTCAGGATTTGAGCAGACTTGAGTATGATTTTCAGTGCTCACTGCAATACTCAAGTCCTGACTTGAGTATTGAGTAGAGTTCTGGAATACGACCCCAAATATCAGTTTAAAGCTTTTTGATAAGTCTTATATTTATGAAATAATCGCCTGGGCACACTTAACGATTACTCCTTGTACATCATAATCATCAGGACGCAGCCCGTTTGTAAGTTAATTGTCTTATTAAATTCACACATAGGAACACTTTACACACACCTACCCATGTTAAACATTCAACTTAATCAAACGCAAAAAAACCCCAAGCTTCTTAATTCATTGTTCTCCTACTGTTTTCACAAAATGTTATTACTTATACAAGACTAAGCGTCTTGATTATTTCATAAGCGACTTAAATATGCCATGTCACATGGATCCATTTAGCGGATTTAAAAAAAATGTATTTGAAAGTACGCAGCATGGTTCTTTTTAGGTTTTAAAAAGCCAAAGTTGGTACCCGGGGTGATTTTAATTTTCTTTGTTTTGGCTTGGTACATTGTCAGGCTCTTCTGTAAGCAAGTAAAGAAACGTTTAGAGTTCTGCTTAAATTTGTAACTCGATTTCATTCGAGGTGTGGGTTGGTTCTTGTTTACACAACTATGTCCAATGTTCTGCTGGTTACAATGTACACATTGCCACACACCGAAATATACTTCCAGACACATAATTCGAGCCACCTCGCATTTTTGTCGTAAAAGGCTAGAATAAAAAAATAGTATATTATCATAGAAGAAAAAGTTTTCCTCTGGTTTTGCAAATCCAAATTCCCAACAAGGACGTTGGAATGGAAAAGTCGTTTAGTATTCTAGTTTCAAAATTACATAATAGTTTTTAATCAATCAAACATTGTTTAAACTTTGGGTACTTAATACTGAAGATGCGTGGTGGCTCGAATTATGTGTCCGGAAGTGGATATAAACTCACTGGTGTGCTTTTGGAGAACAAAAATATACAACGAAACTTTGATGAGACGGAATGAAAGAATATCGTTAACTTTTTTCAAAATGACAGTTAAGGAGCATTATTTATTCACTAATCCATCCATATCTTGGGTATTATGTTATGAAATATGTAATTGTCTAAGTATTTATATACATTAAGGTCTGTAGGAAGAAATTTCTTTCAGAAAGAAGCAGAACTTTTATTTTGTGTTTTCCTTTTATTAAAAGTGCTTTGTGCGTTTTTTCCAGTGCAATAAACTATTAAATTTAAAAAATATTTATTACCAGAGATAAGCCAACAATGGTACCGCCTGTGGAACCAGTACCAGTGCCAATCTCCATGCCAACGCCCACCATCGATGCAGCCAAACGACGGCAGCTCCCTGGTTGGATAAGAGAAGGTACAAGTCTGCCTATTACACCGTTTTTTGTTGAATGATTTTATTTTGTTCTAAACAATTATCACTACTTAACACAGTTCGTTTTCTATTAAACCGTTCTGAAATATGAGAATAAGTCTGAGTAATATGAGAATAATATAAAAAGTGATAAATTATATCTCTATCCATGATAATCCTATAAAAGGGTTCGAATTTATCAAGATATTTACCTTTTGTATTTTATCTTGATAATTATCCTATATGTATTCGATAATTATTCATGCTGATTCATAGTTTTGTCTCAAATTTTTGACAAAAAATGACAAACAGTCAGCCAAATGTATATAATCCACTGACTCCAGTCAACTTTAACGAGTTTGTCGTAACACTCTGTAGCAGGCCTTCATTCTACCTCTAGACTTTACTTTTATTAAAAACTTCAATATTGCCGGCTTATATAATTTCGTTATAAACTTTACTGTGCGGAGGAAGAATGGAAAAATAACTGCATGAAAAAAATGTGTAACATAAGAGCTGCTATTTCACTCGATTTCGCGAAATAGAAAAGTAATTTGCATCCATTTTGATCAATTAATTAATTAGTTTGCATTCCGGTAAGCAATATACATAAATGCACACATCAAAGTATTAAAAAACCTATTAACATTTAGAGATTTATTATTACTAATATTTTTTTATTTTAGGTTTAGAGAAAATGGAGCGCGAGAAACAAAGAGCAATAGAAAGGGAACAAGAGAAGAAGGCTCGAGAGGAAGCAGAGAAAGAACAGAAGAGACTAGAAGACGAAGAATTGGAAAGAATTAAGGCAGAAGCTGGTGGACAACCAGTATTGCCTCCTAAGAGTAAATTTGTAAGTAATTATACAATATGTATTATATAAGAGTTTGAAAGCGGCACATATCGGCAACGCTAGGAAACTACACAAAGATTTATCACACAGAGTAACTTTTCTACCTATCGTATAATCGCTCACAATTCTACACACAGAAAGATATGAGAATTGTCTTTCCTGTTTTAAATACTTCGGTTATTGCCTTCAATAATTAAGGTAACGTTATACTAAAACACATAATATTCTGGTCGTTTGTGAAAAGTAAACGTAATAACAGTAGCCATTATCCTTTTCAAATGTGCCTGCATGAAAAATCTGCAGTTGGTAGTAAAGATATCTGCAATCTGTTCGCTAATAACTTTGCTTCAGTTTACAACAAACCTACTGACACCTCTGCTGCCGTCTACGATGCACCATCTCTAACTAGCAGCTTTTTAACTATGATTCAATTTAATGACGACCAGGTAATCAAGGTTTTGGAGAGACTCGATCCTTCGAAGGGAGCTGGAAGTGATGGAATTCCTTCTAAATTTGTGACCATGTGTGCCCCAGGATTAGTTCGACCTTTACGACTAATTTTTAATACATCTCTGAGCACTGGTGTCTTTCCGACTGCATGGAAAAAGGCTCTTATAGTACCCTTGCATAAAAATGGAAACAGGGAAGCTGTGAATAACTACAGGCCTATTTCCATTTTGCCAATCTTTGCTAAGATCTTTGAGTACTTGCTGATCCCCATACTCTCTTGGCATTTCAAGGGTATAATGCTCTCTGAGCAACATGGTTTTACCAAGCCACGCTCTACAGTTACTAACCTCGTCCAATTCATCAATAATATTTCTCACTCTCTTGACCAGCGTTCTTCTGTGAGCGCCATTTACACTGACTTCAGCAAGGCTTTTGACAAAGTTAACCATCAACTTCTTCTACGTAAACTTTCCATATATGGTATAGCAGAGCCTCTGCTGGGTTGGTGCGGGTCGTATCTGTGTGGCAGAACGTCTACGGTCGTTGTAAACGGGGATTCATCGGAGCCTTTTGGAGTTTCTTCTGGAGTGCCGCAGGGTTCACATTTGGGTCCATTGCTTTTCAATGTCTTTATAAATGACATAGATCAGTGCTTTAGGCACTCACAGTTCTTGCTGTTTGCTGACGATTTGAAATGTTTCCGAGTTGTGAATACCATTGACGATATTGCAAAATTACAAGAAGACATTAACCGCCTAGACTCCTGGTGCGACAATAACCAAATGATTTTAAATGTCTCTAAGTGTTGTGCAATCTACTTCACCAGAAACACTAAGCATGTCGTCAACCCAATTTCTAATGTGAGTCAAATTACGGATTTGGGCGTGCTGCTCGATAGCAAACTTCGCTTCCATGTCCACATCGACAGCATCGTATCTGAGGGTTTTCAAACCCTCGGTTTCGTCTTGCGAAACTGTAGGGACTTTAAGTCGCCCAGCATTAAAATTATGTTGTATAGTTCTTTGGTGCGAAGCGGGTTGGAGTACTGTAGTGTTGTATGGAACCCTTTCTATGACGTGTACAAAAAGAAACTTGAAAGAGTACAAAAAAAATCCGTGTGGCACTTGACCTATTCCTGCTTTCTTGCCAGGTCCTTAAAGAATTACGACGCCAGACTTGAGCACTTCAAAATGGAAACATTATCGCTTCGTAGAAATACACTTGACAGTCTGTTCTTGTTTAAACTAGCTCGTGGAATTCTAGACACGCCTGACTTACTGAACGAACTCGGCTTTAACATACCGCGTAGGTTGCCAAGGTCCTCGCAGTGTTTCAAGTTATTCTGGACCCCCAGCTCTCATTCAAACTTGGGCCACTTTGCACCTTTAGCCAGACTGGCACACCAGCATAATAATAATCTTGACAAGACAGTTGACATCTTTGCTGAAAGTTTGCCTAAATTTAAACGTTCTGTGAAGTCCCTGACATCTTAAAAAATATATTGTATTCGATTATTTTTATGATTTATATTTTTATTACTTTATTATAGATTCGATTTTTTTTTTAATTAGATTTATCAACGACATTTATATTTTTTCAATTTAATTTGTTTGATTGATTAAAATTGCAGTAGTAAATGTTAAAATAACACTCTTATTATCTTGCATGTTGTCTTCATATAATATATAATTATTATAGCATTATAATTGCTATAGCATTAAGCTTTTGTTTTGTATTGTTAAATATTTGAATGTTATAATGTATATAGTGTTGGTGAACTAAATAAATAAATAAATAAACAGTCTTACATAAGTTATTGTACAAAATATTATTCTAATTTGTAATATTATTATGAACATTCGTCAAATACTTACTTCGCTGGCTCAGCGACCCGAACTGAATCTTGGCCTCCAACACCAAATATATCAAATACTAAGTATGATCAAATACTAAGTACATATTTTTATTTATAATTTAGAAATAATATACATATAATGTGCTAAGTGTAGCAAGCAAATGACATGTAACAGGAAACGGACTCGGAAAGCGAATCCGAGAAGGAAGGAGACGAAGACGAGAAGGTGCCCGTGCCTCCGCCGCCGCGGCTGTCAGTGGAGCGCGCGCCGCCGCGCGTCGACCCCCCGCCGCTGCGCAGGAGTCGCGAGGACCTCTTGCAGGAAGTGGTAAAGATCTCTTCATGATATATATATCGACTGTGAACTGGCAACCGGTACTATCTCAATTTTGACAACTTTACAGGATGTCAAAAAATCATATAGCATCTGGTTTATTAAATAAAAATACGTACTATGTGTAATAAAAATATTTAAAAAGAAAGCATTTTTATTTGATAAACCAGATGCTATGTAAATGACGCAAGCAATTTTTTTTCTTCATCCTGGAAAGTTGTCAAAATTGAGATAGTACCGATTGTCAGTTCACAGTTGATATTCATCCCACTAAGAAAGCTCCCTAACACGGAACAAGGAACACCCTAATTTACTAAAATTTACTGTACTTGTACAATTAATCATACATATCATTTAAAAGTAGCACATTAGGTTACATTACGCATGCCTGTGCATTCGCTTTTAACTTGCTTTAGCATTATGTTTTATATCAATAAATCAGTTGACATTTAGCGCTCACCTTGGTTGTTCCTAATTATCATTCTTCCCTGACCATATACCATATCATCATATTATATCATTTAATATCATATATCATCAAAGTAGAATAACTAAACCTTTCCTTTGGTCCTTCTAGCCAGATATGAACCAGCTACCGATAGATTGATAGAGTAGATCGATATAGACCGATAGAGTGCTCTTTTGAAGTTTTGGGATTGTTCAAACTCCACATGTTAGAGCTTTTGAAATATTTATTTACATTTGATATATTTATTTATAGTTTTATTAGTACATTTACTTTATTATAGACTTTGTATGTATTAATGTATCAACATTACTTAATATACATATACATATGTACTTGTATGTACATTTGATTTATTAAATTTATCTGTGTATTTATTGAGTATAGTATATTCCATTTCTTTACTTATCTATTTTTAGTGCCACCCCAAAAAACCAACTTTCCTCTCAGATTTTCAAAGGTTAGTTGGAAGAAATCTCTTTATGGGATAAGCTCGCCTTTGTACACAAATATTTAAATTGTTTCTGAAAATTTGTAAGTTACTTGTGGTACAATAAAGTGTTTAAATAAAATAAAAATCCTATTAATTTTTTATTTAATAAATTTGTCAAGAGCATATTAATTTTTACGTAAGTGTACTTCTACAAAGAGGCTCCTAATCCATTATAAACCACGCTGCCCCTTTGCGGACTGGAGACATTATATTGAGAATCTCGGTTCGCATGTAGATTTCGTACAAAAAAAGGATTTAGTGACCTAGGTATCTGTTCCCGCAACTGAGCTATAAAATTTGTTTGTGCAAAATGGCCTATTAGTAACTAGATTTTCTCACAGTACAGTTAATCTTATCGAGTCATTAGGTTTATGCGATTGTTACACATAGGAAATAAAACTATTTTTCGGATCTATGTCTATCTATACGATAAATTCATCAACCAGTAATGACTAAAGCTGCTAACAGATTGACTGCATGTCTATAGTGAATGCGTGAAGTCGTAATCAACTTCATACAACAGAGACCCCGACTGCATGAAGTTGATAACGACTTCACGCATTAACTGCATGCAGTCGATGCAAAACACCCTATTTTTTGATAGTTAGTTATCAAATAAATACCTTTTTTCAATTTTCCAAAGAACATTCCAATTTATGCTACATAATGTGATTTTACAAAACATTTCATTCTATTGTAAGAATATGATTTTTTTTTACCATCTACCATCCCAATCAGCCGTGACCACGGGACCTGTACAGGGCCCAAAACGTGATTTATTTGAAAAAAAAAAAAAGTGTAGGTTCATTTCCTACTTTAAATCTTGCCTTCGATAATAAAAAAAAAATCTCCGTTAATCCACAAAACACGCCTGTTCCCTTCAGATGCAGACGGTCAGGCGTTCACTGACAGAAATCCTACTCGAGGTGACAGACCACGAGATTCATACGGTGAGCCAGGAAGAATTGGCCCGATATACCGCCGCACAAGGTATTTGCACACATCTATGCTATGGCCGATCGGCCCACCGGTATCTCAAGACTTTATCTAGTCGACACATAACTGTGACTGTGATAGAAACTGTGATATAATTAACGACATGTGCAAACGATGTGTGAAGAATTGTGTATTACTTTCATTCCTAATCAGGTCTTATTTCAGATTTTTGGGCTCGGTGAATACATGTGTGTGTGATTAATGTTGGTTTTATTTATATGGTAAAAGCGTCGCGCCTCAACGCGATGAAGGCAAGCAAGTCAAAGGCGCTCGCCGCTATCGCCAGCGGTCTCGGTGAGTGCTGCCCCACAATTCTTACCACGAAACCTCTCGCAAACTTACACGAGCTCATACTTAAGGTCAACGCACACCAAGTTACTGTACCAGTACCGAGGACATGCCTGCACGCGTCAAACAATACCTTCTGCATTCCTATGATATTGCAACACCGTTGCCACGCAAATATTACTTGAAAATAACTGCATTGTCGACACATGCAGTTAAGGTTTATTGTTACTGAACATTAATGGCTTAGAACACTGAATTCCTAAAAGTTTGCCAGATAGTTTCGTTTCAATGTAAATGGTGGTTTTTCTAAATTACATAAACCATATACAAATATGGGATTCCTAAGTATGGTACTGTGCCGTAATAAACCTTTATGGCACAATACCTACATGACGGATAATTAAGTCGATCATTATAAAATAATGTAGCAAATCACCATTTACATTATCGTGTCTTTTAATTTCAGCTCACCAACAAAATTAATTACGTATTGACGGTCAGGCAATACTTAGTAAAAACACCCTACAATGTTTAATTACATTGTATTTAATGGAGTAATTGGTAAGAAATGAACATAATTTACTATAAATGTTATAGTATGTATGTGTGGCTGATGTCATTATATCGTTATCGCACTTTGCATGGGATGGCGTAACTGTTTAAAACATAATTAGGTCGATTTATCGATAATGTCTACTACATTATAGATGGTTGTTCAGAATTACGAAATATAGAACATCCTACATACAACAAACTATTTAAAAAAAGTAGTTTTGTCTCTCACACGCCCCATAAGTGAAAGACGGACAACACTACTATTTATTTTGATGAGTTTTTTGGTCGTCTGTCGACAAGAAATCGTTTCCTTGAATACGCATTATAAAGTATAAGGTACAATAGTCAGAACAGTTACGTCAACTCGTGCTTAAGTAGTACGACGAGACAGCGTTGTCACGATGTTGTGTGTACAGGGCTCGGGGCGTACGAGAGCAGCAGTGACGAGAGTGGCAATGATGACGACGACCACGAAGACATTACCGATCAGCAACTACAGGTTAGATGCCCAAACTGTTCATCCGTAAAATCCATACTTACCTATTCGGGTCTGTCAGGATGGCTGGACCAACCAAGATATACAACTCAAACTGTGCCCATTATTTTCTACTATTTAGTACCTTTACACGGTTAAATTACACGGAGAAAATAAACTGTCTTTTTAGAAAATACCTTTTGAAAAGGTGTTTTATTATTTTTTTTAAATAACTTTTTACAGAGGCTTCCTAAAATAGTGAAAAAAAAGTAGGTTTAGGTAGTAAACTAGTTATATAACAAAAGTAAATTATATACTGCTACAACCATGGAAAACGTTAAGTGGTCCAGCCAACCTGACATCAGAATGGCTTTCGACTTTATTTCTTTAATATTTCCGTTAGCATAACGGTACAAAACATGCCAATAAATAGTAGAAAATAGGTAGTAAATAACGAGCACAATTTGATTTGCCTATCTCGTTTGGTCCAGCCATCCTGACGGACACACCTTTTTAATATTTAACATGTTACCTGTTTTCAATAAAAATTTCAAAACCCACACAGATAAAGCTCTATAACCAACTTTTTGGATCAAATGACCTTATAATAGCGCATGCATACAAACAAACTTCAGCTGCTTCTGGGGAGATGCTGCTTATTGATTTTGAATATATCCCTTACATTTCGTAGAATTTAGTATCAATGAATACTTAACTTTAACTGCCTTTGTGGCCGAACGGTTACCATGCCGGACTGCCACGCAGAGGTCCCAGGTTCGATTCCCGGGCCGGGAGAAATAGCTGTATGGCCTACAATTATTTCTCTCGTGAGTTTGGGTGTAATTTGTGGTTGTGTCCATGGCACCCGCGACACAGTGTTTCCCTAGTACGGGGCTATGTTGAGTGTGTGCGTTATTTCTGTAGCATGGTTCTATTGAAATGAAACCACCATTGACTTGCTTTTTGCATTTGAAACTTGAATTTTAATAAAATTATCCGAAATAATTTGTCTTTTATTGTCAATCTACTGCATGGACAGTCATGTAAAGAAAGGTTTGTATATTTATCCAAGCCCATCGAACGAAAATTGAAAAAGTTATCAATTTGCATCACAGGATATAATAAAGCGAAGGAAGACGGAGTTCGAGCGAACATCTCGCGAAATTGAGGCCGAGGTACGCCGTGCCGAGCAGCGGGAGGCCGCGGAGGATCAAGCTACGCCCATCGGTACGCCCGAGCGTCCTAGACGATCTAGTGAGATATGTTTATAGATTTTTATTTCTTTAATTTCTTACATAAATTCACAATACTTCATTTCTAACTGTCAGGTTGTAGTTAATTTTATGTTTAAATACGTGTCGGCATGGGCTGTATGGCATAATGTATTTTAAACATGCAACTAATAATAACCCTTATATTCTAGGATCTTCTGCTACACCCCCACCTGAGAGCGAGACGCCAGAAAAAATATTGACGGAAAGACGTCTATCTAGAGATAAGAAAAGCAATCATAAATCTAATGATAGGATTGATGGACTAAGAAGGCTAGATTCCATTCCCGAAGAGAAATCCAGAAAATCGAGCAAAAAGGACCAAATACTCAGTCCACAGAAAGTGACTAACAATAAAAAAGACAGTTCCTCTTCCACTAGTGACTCGGAGGAGGATTCCTCATCGAGCTCCAGCAATGAGTCTTCCGAGAGTGAACAGGAATCCAAAGTCGAAACAAAGTCCAAAAAACGCAAACGCCGCAGTTCAAGTTCAAGTGATTCACGCCGGAAATCCAAAAAGGAGAAACACAAGAAAGAAAAATCGCAAAAATCGGATGAGAAAAATTCTCATTCAAAATCGAAACGTCATGACGAGTATGAGAAGGATAAATCTAAATCTAGAAGGAAGGACGATTATTACGATAAGCATAAGTCTTCTAGGAGTAGGGATTACGAAAAGTCGCATAAAGATAAATATAGGGATGAATCAGAGGACGATCGTCCGCGGAAGCGCGCGAAACGATCGCGGTCGATCAGCTACGAGTCGCGGTCGGGGCGACGTAGGTCTTCGCGGTCGGAGGAGCGCTCGCGTCGAAGGGAGAAGCGATCTTACGACAGGGAGAGCTCGAAGCGGGACAGGTCCTACGACAGATCCGGACGGGAGTATGAAAAGTACGATAGGTATGAGCGGTCTAGGGACTACGACCGGCGGCGCTCACGCAGCGGCAGCCGCTCCCGACACCGCCGGTGAACATCAGGTTACCAACTCAGCAGGTTGTATTAGTTTATTTATTTGAAATCCCTGCATTGCAATCATTTTCAGATTTTATGATAAGTTATTTATTGTGGATAACATGACATTTTATTATTTTTTACATTGACTTACAAAATTTTTTAAATTATTTTATGTCGTAATTAAATCATCAAAATTGTATTAAATATTCCAAAAATAATCTCTGAATTTCTAAAAAATATAATCAATGAAATTAGGTTTTTAGTACAAAATATTAGTAATACTGCAATTTAGGTGCTAGCATCTAGACATGTCTCGACATGGGAGGTTTTAAGTAAAATAGCGTTAAAGGTTTCTTTTTTATTTCATTCATTTCTTAATTTTTGCTATTTATCTAGCTCTTACTTTAATAAGGCTGTGATAAATTATTTTTATTTTTTTTCTCTTGCAGATGGAGGCAGTATTGAGCTTGCTCCGAGTGTAAATAATGTTTGTGTTAATAGTTTTCCTTGAAAGTTTAAGCCCATTGACCCCAAACCAGGGTGGTTTTATTTACTTATTAATGGATTCCTGTTGATATATTTGAAAATAATGAAGTGTAGCTCCTTGTTTGGGGTGGCAAGTCTTTTTGATTCACTAGCATCATGCACTATTCCAATAAAACTATTCAGAAGTTATTTGTTGTATCAATTTATAGGTTTAATTACATTTCTTCACTCCCATAATCTCGTCAATCATTAAAAGCAAATTGCTATAATGTGTCCCACACAATTGTAATCTTAAAACGGAGGTGCAAAGAAAAATAGTTCTATGTTTTAAATTTTGTATTTACAATAATAATGGTATGTCAAAAACAAAACTCATTGAGTGGTTTACATTTCAATGAAGGGTCTTGAAACATCATTCAAGTTCAATTGTTTCGCACAATAGTGTGTACATAGTATGATTCATAATATAGTTGAGTATCTAAACATTACTGAGCAGTGAATTTTTCTGAGGGAACCTTTTCCTTGACCTATGAATTTTTAAAGCGTAATTTTAAAAATATTGTTGTAAGGACAACTTGCCTCAATAAAGTTTTTTCAAGGTGCTCAATTGCTAGAGAATAACAATTACTTGAATTAAAATATTACAATTTGTACAACTTGTAAAAGTACTTTTACAAGGTTTCTTGTCTAAGTATTTGTTGTTTCACTTTTGTATATGAAACCTTGGGAGTACAGTTTGTTAAGTACCTGTTTTATATTTGCCTGCTATTTAATAATTTAAGTATAAGAGGTTTTATTATGATACCAATAAAGTTCTGTTCCTTCTTTACCTGTGGCCCTACTGTGTAGTTCTACTGGTAGTACCAACTGTATTAACTATTAATTAATACAGTTGGTACTTAGTATTAACTGCTCTTACCAGCAAAGTTAGCCAAGATATTGCCTACTATGTAGACTGCTCTTGAGGAAAATGTTATTTGAATTTGACCCAAAATTTAATTGAAATAAATTAAAATAATTTACTTGTATTCAAAACTTAGAAGTTAGTAGTAAATTAAAGAATTACACAATTTCCCAATTATCCACACTACATTACATTTATTGCATAAATAAATAGGATCAACTAAATTATACTTAGGCCTACCAAATGGTACAAGTTTGAAGGTGACTATTCATTTACCAAATCTTTGATCACATTTGTTATACTTGTATAGAGCACCTAAAAATCCTTTTATATTTACACTGTTGTCTAAGGAAAGTTGTACAAACTCTGTTAGTCTTATCTGCCAAGGCATAAGACCATGAGTGCAGCATAAAGTACCAGTATATAAAGCTAACTCAGGATTTGGAATGGAAGGGTATACTGTACTAAGAACCTCATCTAATTCTTGTGCTGTATATTCCTCAAAATTTCTACTACATGGAATGATTCCCTTGGCTATATCTCGAATACCTTGTGCAATTTTAGGTCTCCCATCATCAGAGGTAAAAATATTAATAACTACCGTATGTGCTTGGATCCCATTGGTATAACCATTTAGATCTGGTTTATTAGACCATTTTATACAGCCTGGAATGCCTTTCTTGTTACGTTCCACTTCATAAAAGAACTTCTCTTCATTCTTTTTCAAATCTCCTGCAACAAACAGTTTGAATGTCAATGTAAAGATCCGAGTTGTTAGATTTATCATTTGTCAGATAAGAGAAATTGTGAACAGGAACTCGGTCAATATGAAATTTTACTATCAATTTTATATATTGCATCATACAAATGATAAAATAATTTGATCTTAAAATACGTAATTATATTTTTTTTCTAAACTTAATTACCGGTAATATCGTGAAAGCTGATATATGGTATTCCGGAAACTAGGCTCCAGATAACCAAGCGCGCCAGATCACTTAGGGTGTGCTGATCCGTGTCAGCCAGCAGCACAAGATGCTTCAGCCTCTTGGTCATCTTCGGCACATGCTCCAGTATCATCTGGATATCATATTTCGTCACCGAGTCAGTTGATAAATCGTACTTTTTAACCCAAAAGCGGCGATAAACATTTTGGGCAGCAACAAGTAAACTGGCTGCTAAATGCACCAGAGTAAACAAAACTTGACGCAGCAAGCGTGACAACATGTTCAAGCGGCTCACGTAAATAAGACGTTTTCGGTCAGCTACTTTATTTTATTTGATCATTTTTATGAAATAAAACTTCAGCGAAATCGTCCGATCACACGGCCCGTCAGCCGTCAGCCGCATTTTTGGGTGGCCAATCACGAGCTTCAGGGTGGAAATCCGTCTTACCAACATTAAAATACAAATCTAATAGCTGCGTTCATTAGGTATAAATATAATAGAGTTACTTTAGATCAATAAATATTATGAATTTGACTGAAGTGGAATACGAGACGAGGTAGCGGTAGGGGACGAGTTGTATTTATTTCAAGTCGAGTATACGTGATTGCTGACTCGAGTTGACTCGACGCGATGTCTGACAGCAACGGCGAGTCGCGAGTAGAACTCGAACCGACGATTCACCGTGTTGGGCACGATCAACCGGCCGAATACGACTCGAGCGTACTCCGAAAATCGGCGAATCGACCGAGTGAGAACGAATAGTCGATCGATGCGCTCTATGAATGAAGTATTCGGCTCAGTGCGTGTGGCGGATACCGAATCGAGTTCGCTCGCCATCGAGTTCATTATAATAATAGTTCGAGTTGACTTGGTTGCGGGAATAACTCGAGTCACTCATCGCTAATACGAGTGTCGGCCGTGCATTTCAGTTCTTTGAAGGAACTTCCAGCAGTTTGTCCATGGTTAATATACTATATACGTATATTTGAGAAGTTCGTCTAAAACGGCCCATTCACTACAGGCAACTGCTCACACACTATCCTGCTTAAGACCCACTTATAAGAAAAAGCCTCGCGGGACCCATTGCAGGATGGTTTGCACGCTGCGACTACATTCATAATCCTGCGTTACGCGGCGGACTGACTGCAATGGAGGATAATGAATGTTCCCGCCTCCGTTAGACTTGTGCCCGATCTTTCCTTAGCGGGAGCGATTCTAGTTAGTTCAATCGGTTAACTGAACTAGGTCGGTCTTCTAGTTTATTTAGTTCATCTAGTTCCTTAGTTAGTTAGTTCGTCTTGTCCTATTGCTCGGACATTGAACGAACGCTCAAACTAGTAATTTTATTCACATTCTAGTATCATGAGGTCAATACTACACTGTACTAAACATTTAAAAATACTATTTGTATGTAATCGGTAATATTTGATTTTCCTTCATATTTTACAGGTTTAAAGACTGTCATTCTAAGTAAATATCCTTTATTTACAAAATAAGAATTTTAGTTAGAATGGTGTGTTTAAAAATCAATATTTAGATACAGCTATTTCATATACTCGTACACGTAGGTTGATATTATACATACAGTTTCATACCAAAAAAATATTACTTTTTTTGCAAGCTTGTACATATACATAATGTAGATACGTATTAGAGACTAAGGGTTGTATTCCAGAACTCTACTCAATGCTCAAGTCAGGATTTCAAGCACTGGAAATACGACCCTAATGGCAAGGACTTGAATATGATTTCTAGTGCTTTGAATCATACTCAAGTCCTGACTTGAACATTGAGTAGAGTTCTAGAATACGACCCTTAGAACGAGCTGGGAACGTTCAATCGTGCATCCCACTCGAACTTGTACTAAAAGTAGTGAAAGATCGCTATTTGTCCCACTCGTACCGTTCCTACATACTAAATCTATGATTCCTACTGTATAAAAGACAGGTGAACTATCAACGCAGACAGTTCCTACTTGACACTGAATTAAAAAGAACGATGAACTATTAAAACCGTGCAAGACGAACTAGTTCATGTCGTTCAGCGTTGAGAATATTCCTGATAGTTCGTAGTTCATTAACTATACAAGCCTAGTCTCCGTCTCGTTATGTCATGAATCATGCGTGACATATCTTGATAAATTAAGACGATAATTTAAGTGCTATAAATACACGTATAAATTTATTTCAAGCTCAGATTACAAAATAATAAATTGTTCTCTAATTTATTTTGTAATTTATTGTTAAATTTGATTGTGTAATCTGAGATTTCAACTTACCAAAATTTGTATCCGAATTGTTAAGTATCCGTTTCCGCTCCACCATTTTTGTTTCTTTCGCTTGTCAGACTTTGCTGATAAGGTTAGTATTTTACGAATTTCAGAATTTTAGTGACTTTTGCGTAATACTGTAATAGAAGGTGCAGTAATTTATTTCATGAGAGTGTTGTGAACCGTAAATAAATAATAAGTGTCATTTAAGATATACAACTTTGTAAAAGTACCTAGTTGTTTTCTTTGCAGCTGTTCTGACCACGCTGTTGCACGTTGCGTTTTGATTTCAGAGGCCTCAAAATGCAGTTGCACATTAGAGGACAGTCTACACACGTCTTGGACGTTAATGGAGAGGAGTCTATTGCACAGATTAAGGTATTTATACTTATATGTTTCGTTTGGCTATGATTTGATGGAGCTAACATAAATGGTCTTCAAACTCGCAGATATTTTCATTGTGTTGTTTGTTATAGACCGTGCAATAGAATTTATATGATTAACCTGTCTTTTAAAATTCTTTTGTATCGTATTGGAATCATAAAACAAACTCGATCTTGAAAATAATTCATGAAACTTTTGTATTTATAGGTTATGCTCCATGTTTGATAGGCATTTTCGAAATGTTTATTAATTGTAGCATTGGCTTGACTAGCCCTGTAAGTACCTAAACCAGTAGGAATCCTGGTGTCAACCTTATCAACATCAGCAAATTATCATCAACTTTATTTCAAAGTCCTCTGCCAGACTGAACACAAGACTTATTGCACAGGTGCATGTTGACATCATATTATGAAATATTTTAAAATACGCAACCTATTGGGAGAGGGTGAGAGAACCCCTTTTGGAGGGGGAGTTTCTCCTGCTAACAAACAAAAGTGAGGAGGTGCATAGTTTTTGAGAAATACAATTTTTTAAGTTTGTTCGCTCAAAAGAGCTCATGTCAGTTTTGAGTGGACACCACCACCTCGCACCTTTGAGAAAAAAGTGATTTATCATACATATAATGAATGGAGGATGACAAAGTTAATGCGAAATGTGTTTTGTTTCACAATTTTGATAATCTGCCAAATATTCATGAAGGAATGACATATTAATGCCCAATATGGCACTGTGCAATACTTAAATTGGAATGTGTTGTAGTTAGACCATGTCAATCACATTTTTTTTGTTAAAGGTGAATTTCATAATATTAAATAATTATGGTATAAAATCTAATCATTTCCATATTTTAGAAACTAGTATTTGATGGCAATGTCTACTAAAAAAATCAGTTCGCTGGCTGGTATTCTAAAGTTGAGCCTAGTAAATAAAATTCATTGCCTTCATACCGTCTTAACAAAAGGACATAACTATTTCAGGATCGCATCCGTTCCCTCGCCAATGTAGAGGATGAGGAGTTGACTCTGTCAGTATGCGGTGCTCCCCTTGAGGACACCTGCCTAGTGTCAGAGCTATCTTCGACTGACCTCGACCTCACAATCCCACTACTTGGTGGTAAAGTGCACGGATCCTTGGCTCGTGCTGGTAAGTTATTCAATCTATTATGCTGTATGGTATAAGATGATATATTGGCAGTTTTACAGTACAATAAATACAGTAGAAGTCGTTAGTTAGTGTCCGATATGTGGCAACTATAGGTCTCGCAAGACTTATTTGAGCTCAGTCTACCATTTTCACTTTGCATGGTATGGTTGTGTCATCCTTTCATGCAAATCCTCTAAAATCATACAAAATGCGTTATTGTGCTATTTTGGAGTGCAAAAATGATAGCCACACCAAATATATTACCCGTGGTAGTGTTTCATATGATCAAAAAGTATAAGAATATCATTGACTTACAATTATATGGACGTCGGGTCCGCGCTAAAAAGTGTCCGCACTTGTAAGGCGCTAAAATCTGCCAGCGCGATACTGCGATGACATAACAATTTAAATTTCGAATAGGTTGACTTGGGACATTTTTTTCGTGGTTTTTGTATTAGACCCGTCATCCATTTATTTGTAAGTCAATGAAGAATATATACACTGGACAGCAAATAAACCGGGCCACCTGCTAACTTTGAA